GAATCAGAGACATAAGTGCCCAAGTACTCTTGTAGATCAGTATGTTCGTGATTGTTGATTCTCACAAATTTGTTTCCGCTAAACTTAGCGAGATACTCGATCATACTAGTCTTTCCGGATGAAGTTGGACCTTGAATTAAAACTGGAAAGCGACGAGTTGAAGTTGCACGGACCAAGTTAAGCATGTTACGCTCGACAAATGGCGTGATAATGTAGTGAGGTTGCTCTTGAGGGGTCTCATAACCTTGAAGCATCCAATATTGACGATCTCTTTTCTTGTTCATGAATCGTACATATTGTTTTCCATCATCTGGGTGTTTTGGTGTTTGGGCCAAAAGAGCTTGTGGGTTGCCGTGGCTGTCTAACAAATGGTGCTCAATAAGTGGCATAAGCATTTTTTCGGATTCTCGATCAAGAAGAGTCAAGAACCCCATCGCAAACCCTTCGTAGAGCGCCCTTCGTAAGCCATAAGACGGAGCAATTTCGGTGACGTAGGAGAGAACACGTGTCAATGTTCGCAAACTGAAGTGCGGTACTTCATTTGCCCCATCAACCAATCGCTTCTCTTCGGCGAGTCGTTTCGTGTTCATATAAAGACGTGCAACATCATGAGCAGCCCTTTCGTCATTGCTACTTGTCCCTTTGAGATATGCTTTGATGACAGCTAAGAGATCGTCAAGATTCTTGTCCGGACTATCGACATAAAGTTCAGTAAATCTAGAACGTAGTCCCATAGGAAGATCACGTTTTCCAACATCTGTTGCTGGGTTCATGGCACCGAATATGCGGAAGTCTGGGTGTGCTTGGATCCGTTCTATTTCACCAGTTTCAGAAAGAAGAATTGAGGGAGAACCAGTACCACCGTGCAACAGGTCAGCTATACTCTCAAGGGTATCTGGAGATGCCAAATTGACTTCGTCAAGAAGTACCCACTCTCCATTGCGAGCTGCTTTGACAATGTTACCTTCGACGAATGAGAAAGCAAACCCTTTGGAGCCTGCAGACAACTGAATATCGAATTGGTCCAAGCTCTGCGAGAACCTTGACCAACGAGACTTCAATTTCAACAGTGACTGTAATTTTGACTCGGTCTTTCGTCTCTTTGTTGGTTGCTCAGAGGTTATATGCATACTTGCTTCTTCTTTTTTGGCAAGCTCAGAAACGATTTTTTCAAACATTTTAGGGGCCTCACGCCACAATTTCGATGCCTTGCTCCATTGACTCTTTGCGACGCACTTTCCAAGTTGATCAATGTACTTCTGATTCTTTGTGGCAGAAATACCTGTCGACGCAAAAAGATCGTCGAATTCATCTTTAAGTGGGATTGCAAGACTCCGGACATTCACAGGTTTGAATCCTCCGAGCAAATCACCGACCTCACTTTGTTGCGATAAGTTCACAGCAGTGAGTTTGAAACCCAACGAATCTGCAAGCTGCTGTACGACAGTAGTCTTACCAATACCTGTCTCTCCAACTAACAAGACTGGCTCAGCCATCCGGACCGCTACTCCGACTTGCTCAAGCAGTTTTTTGGCATGCGTTGTATTCGCAAAGGGACGGCTCTTTTTAGTAGGCTTCATAACACGACTACTTCGTTTCTTAGACAATCGCACTCTACCAATCAAAAGCTCGCTGTCGCCGTCATCGTAACGTGGAATATGGCCAGTGAGAAAATGTTCCATAGTCTGAGGATCAATGTGCATTTCCTCAGCAATGCATGAAACCACCGATCTCCGGGATTCCTCGGACTGTAGACTTCCTGCAAAGCAATCGGCGGCTTCTAAAAACATCTCATATTTTGTGCTGTCAGTTATAGGCTCGCTGCCGGTCTTGGATCCTGATGATGTAAGAACACTTGCTAGTCTTCTGCACCACTTCAGAAGATCTCGAGGACTTATTGGGCGGCCTATCGAAGTTCGAGTTTTGGATGCAAAAGAAGGCTTAATAGAGAGTGTGTAGAGCCTTTCGTAAACGCTGATAATTCCAGGTAAAAATTGGCGCAATATTGGGTAAGTACCTTCGATGATTTCTCGAAATTCGTCTCGATTTGGCATGTGAATAGGAACACGCTGCCACATTCGTGCTCCGAGCATGTGTAATGCTGGTGGAATCTCTCCGCCACTTACATTCAAAGAGGTTCGAATGCTCGCAAGAAGCTTAAAACCTGCCTTGGCCTTGATAGTTTCACCTCGACTTGGTATTAGAAGCTCGCCTCTCTCAACGAGTGGCAGTATTACGCTGATTACTTCATTGGGAGCGCGATCAAGATCCTCGATGAAAACCCAACGCCCTTCCTTAACAGCTGTAGTTAGAACACCTGCTCTCCACGTAAAAGATCCAGGTGTAGATCCTGTAGCGTACATGCCAATAAGCATTTTTGCATCAGTCTGCTCATTCAAATGAAGTGTAACCATGCTTGAATCCATCCCAAGTTCCCGTGCGAAGTCATTGACCAATGAAGTCTTTCCTGCACCAGCCAACCCGTGGAGTAAGATTGGCGATGAAGACATAAGGGCCTTGGCAAAGGATTGCCTGTTCTGCGAGGTTGTGGTTGTTGATATGAGTTTAGATGGCTGCGAAGGATAGCCGTTTGGCCGTGGTAAGAGTATATCTGAATATCGCACAACCAGTGGTGAAAACTCCTGTAATACCTTTTGAGATTGAAACATCTCTGTTTCAGTGCTCAAACCCAAAGCAGCATTTTTCAGCCGCTGTTCTTCGAAAATACTAAGGAATCCATAGTCCACCATTTCGCCGTCGAAGTCCCCCATTACTGCCATTGTATTTCCAACGAATTTCGCAACCATTGCCTCCAACCTATCGTCCGAGGCGAATTGAAGCTGGCAGAAGATTCTCACCGCAAGATACCGAACTGCTAAATCAGTATGTCCAAGAAGGCTCTGGATCGCGGAGCTTGAAACTGTCCCAGAGTAGGCCTGCTTATTGAAGTTGAGAAGTCTCCATGTTGCCAGCAGAATTCGTTGCAACGCAAGGTCAGACAGACCGTTGCTCGTGACGGTTGCGCCATCTCCCAGGCATATTATATTGCGAGAAGGGCCATTCTCTGTAGAAGGTGTGGTTTCGGAGAGATATTTTTCGAGAAAGGTGTTCAGGTGCGGTGCAAGGTATAGTATTCGTGAGAATGCTTCAATGACTTCATTTTTTTGGGTACCAGGATACGAATTGGCAACCCATCTTGCAGCCGAGTCCGCGATTAAGGTATTAAAATATGTGAATAATTTGAGTGTTTGTTTGGGCTTCAATGCAGATATGGCGAGAGTTTCGAGGAAGTGAGGGGATTGTTGGAGGTTAACGATTTCCAGAATTTCCTCTGGAAGGTCTGCTTGTAGTTTGCTTTCCATGGTTATATCAGGATTATTTCTATCCTGAATAGCCTCCATTTCGTTCAATCATATAAATCGTGGGATATCAATTGTTTATTTCAATGCAACTATCTTGAACTTTTTTTCTTAATCGCAATCAACTTTTTTTGACCGTGCCGAGGTTTCACCGACGCGCTAGAAATTTAGCTCCACAATGCAGAAAGTCTACAAAGTCCTCATCAACAATCATAGATTGTATTATCATATCGCCTCTCATACCCACACACGATGTCATTATCCTGCCAGTCCGCAGCTCGCAGCTGCATACGATCTCTCCGATCATCCTCGTCCCTCCGCGTTTCCACAGCTTCTCTTGCACAAAGAAGAAATCCTTCTGCGAGATGGGCATCAACAGAGGCAGCGTCAGCGAACCCAAAGATCTCCGGGATTGTGGACCAAATCAGTCAATTGACTTTATTAGAGACAGCTGATTTAGTTGCCAGCTTAAAGGTAAGGATATTTCCGCCAAATATATGCGCCCGAGGAAGTTTTTCGCAGTTACTGATCAGCCTATTCTCCAGTCACGACTAAATATTCCCGATATGCCAATGGGGGGATTTTCTGCTGGTCCTGCCCAAGCCGCTGCACCAGTTGAGGAGGAAGATGCCGCACCAGTACAACAAGAGAAGACTTTGTTCAACCTGAAGTTGGCTTCGTTTGATGCGGGGGCAAAACCTAAGATCATCAAAGAGATCAAGAGCATGTTGGGATTAAGTTTGGTGGACAGTAAAAAGTTCGTCGAAAGTGCGCCAAAGATGATGAAGGAGGGTGTACCAAAGGAGGAAGCCGAGAAAATTATTGCAACATTGAAGGAATTGGGAGCTGTCGTTAACATGGAATAAAAACCTCTACGAGAGGGATTGCATAAGCCGCGGGGTTCGAAGAAATTCGGCATGTATCAATAGAGATGTGTACAAAATCTACTTCTCATCCAGGCATACATAGAGAAACTCTATATAATCTGCTGCGGCAGGTTTTGGGACAGGAAGACTGTCTAGTCACCAGAGAGTCCTTTATGTCAAACCGATTTTTGTGAGGACGACACCGAAGTAGAATTCAGATCACATCGAGTGCCCCGCACTTCAATGACTTCAATGAGTTTCTGTTAACTTTCAAAAAATCATTACAAATGTGGAAGCAGACATTCATGAAAATCTTAAACAGAAGCAGAAATCCTACTCATCTAATCGTTAATGGGGCTAACACAACCTACGCCCCGCTTCTACTTGTTTAAACATGGTTGCATTTCTAGCGAACGCCCAGATCAGCAAGTAGCTCCATGCTCCAAGAGTTCAATAGCACGAGGTGTAAGTAGAGTGCGTCAAGAAGTAAGTCTATCAAATGTCTATCAAATGTCTCCAAAATGTCTCTCCGGAAATCCGCAATTACTGTCAAAATGTGAAATAGAAGACACGAGTACCACTCTACTGAGCACTGTGTACCATAACGAGCACTATATAAGCAGATAAATACCCATTCATAAAGAATCCTTCAAGCGGTTCAAAAGTTCAAATTGGTCTGAACATCCTAGAAAGCGTACTTTTCTCAAATAGCCAGCAATTCTTATTCTTACCTTGATCTTAACTTCCCTAGTATCAAAGCGGTTATTCTCTTTTTATGATGTGTTGCTTTGGTATGTCCAGTGGATCTCCTCCGCTCCACTCACGTCCTCCTGTTCCACCCCGGGTCATCGCGTAAGCCAACTTATCCCGAATCCGTTCATATTACCCTTTTCAACTCGCTATCCACCATAGTTTGCCTACTAATATTCCTCTCATTTTCCATAGCATACTTCCCCCCACCTATCGCTCCAATTGCAACATTGCCAGCATGCCAGTTATTGTCGAACCATACATACATAGAACTATTGTGCCCACGCCGCATGGTATACATCTACCACATCAATCTTCGCATCACCCTTTACATCATGGCAATCCAGGATACCAAAGGGAACGAAGCTCGTCGCTTCATCGTGGGTTGAGGATACATCATGCAGAAGTATCTAGTGGACTCGGTAATGGATTGTTTAGGACACATCATTAAGGTGGGAAAAGGGGAAGAGTGGACAAGTCGCTTAAGATGTAAAAGCAGGTGGGGCTTTCACATTTATATCAAGATCAAAGTTCTTGTGATGAATCTACTCCTATACTTGATTTCCAACTTTTCAATTGTTTACATCAAGGAGAATCAAAATCACATCTTGTACCAATGTTCATGAGGTTGAACTCAACTTGCAGGCCAAATTCTGCATCCAACAATTTGATACCCAGTGAAGATGAACTTGTAAACCATGAAGTATGTAAGGGAAGGAACACAATGCATAAATTGAAAGCATAAAGAATCTCTAGCTTTATTTCTCAGTCAGTTTTTCAAAGCCCAGGTGGTCCACAATTCCAAGTTATTTAAGCAACCTTGGAGTTGAATAATCCCATGAATCTTCCTAGAACAACTTCGAACCCAGAGAACTGCCACTTTCCTCCCACCGCCCTAGTTAGGTCCTAGCCGAGGACACAAATTTGATTCAATTCTCCTCGATCTTTTACATTTTTCAACAATCTTTTCCAAATTAATCCAGACAATTGATCTGCAATATCTGCAATACCTCAACATTTTGTGCTGCCATATTTTGCTAGCCTCAATAAGCATACCTTACCCAAAGTATTTTATTATGTTCCTACAAATCTTTTTATCCCAGGATAGTTTTCAAATCCCAGAACTTCGAATTCTTTCAACCTTTCCAGAGCTCATTGGAATGTTAGCTGAATCATCCAGGCTCTCCGTTGGCAATGTCATCGTTGCTATCAATCTGAATCTCAATGATGATTGGCGGCCTTGGTGAAAGTGGTAACTCCAATTGGAAGTTCGGAAAAGTCGTACACCAACTCTCGCTTTGTAGGAATGTAAAGAGAATAGAGCTTGGGGAAACTGAGCGTGCAGAAAGGATCACATTGCAAGAAGCTGCCTCTCCATTCAGATAACAATCACCAAATTTTGGAACTGGATCAGAGAGTACCAGCTTTATTTGTTGAATGTGGCACCACTTTGAGCGCGAGATACGTTTAAACGAGGACTGTAAAAGCTACATGTTAGAGTGATAGTGATGTCAGATTTGAGGCCGATTTAATTGTTGGTCAATTGGCATCAATATAGCTATTCATCAGGATAAGACAAATGTGAGTGATAGAAGTCTTTGAGGAGGTGATGCAAAATACTAACCTGTCCTAGGTCAAGCAAACTCTGGTGAAAAAAGCGCTAGCCCTCACGATATCGATTCTTGCGCATCGAATCAAAATTTATACTTTGGAAGTATGCGACGGGTATTAGAATTTATCTTGGTGCATCCAAATACTTTACACGGTCCAAACGATTTATTGGCAAATTCAACGCTGCGCAGTAGTCTCGTCATTCTTAGCATAGGCATCTTGAATGCCACTCAGGAGATATACGTAAGCGTATGTTTTAGTCTTGAATGATAAAACAATCCATCGCCGATTATCAAGGGTTTTCAAATGATATTGAAGTCTTATGGAGTGACAACACATACCGGGTCAGGTCGATAGCTAACAACCCATGCACCTTGAAGATGCTATCGGCTGACATGTCCGTTAAGAATGTCCGTTCTTACCGAGAGCATATACGATGGAAAGAGGTAAGAAACTACCCAGAGAACTGTTGTTTCATGTACTAATTCGAAAAGGCGTTCGTCTCAATGCTGAAAACCAACTTCCACAACGTTAGTTGAGTGGCGACTAATGTCAAAAATGACAGTTTCGTCATCCACTACTTCGCTAATACACAACAAATTCAACTGACACACAACGGATAGTTTTAGTTCTCACATAGAAATCAGTGAGAATGGCTATGATATTCAAAAGAATTAAGATCACAAGTATTCAATGGCTGTCAAAGTTAAAAATCAACGAGAGCTATCACATTGAGGTAGAGAATTGCACCATGCTCGTTGACATGAGTCTTGTGCTGATTTCAATTAGCTCTAAGGATGGAATAAGCTTTCATTTCATCACGGAAGCAATTTGAGACCCTCTCGTAAGGTTCATAATCCACGAATGTAGGGCCTGTGAAGTCTTGACGCAGGCAACTTATCACACTTCCCTTTGGTGACCATTTACAACACTGAAACAAAGTTGAAAGAATATTGCTTGATAAGGCTATTGTCAATGCTGTTTGCACAAATCACTTGTTTGATAGGCAGTCAGCCATCTGCAAAACAAATCGGAATGAAAAATGTCCTCAAAATGTCCTCAAAATAAAGGAATAATAAAAGATACCACAATCAACACCAGCCGAGCCCCTGAAAGGGGTTTTCATTAACAGAAACCAATATCCCACCGTTCAAATGATGGTAAGAGACTCTCTCTATTTAAAAGGTTACAGTGGTTCAATCCAACGACACAATTTGTGCCAGAAAATTCGAGATGTGAACAATTCATATGTTCTCGAGGCCGCAAGGCACAGAAATGGTCGCCCTGCCGATGCCAAAAATACAAACCACTAGCTCCCATCACCAGATAAAAGTTCTTATCCTGGTTACATGGGATGAAGTGAGGATTACAAGCGACTTCAGATTTCAGTTTACCAAAGATAATTCCCATTGATAAACTCAGACTAAGATCTTAATTTTTTCAACGAAGAAAATTCTCGATTCAAAGTACCACCACGACCACTCGATCTCATAATCAATTTTTAAAGAGCCTCCTCATATTTCCATAACTCTTTCTCCATACCAACTTGGTCCAGAGATATTTTACAGCGGAAATACATCGCAGAGAGTCTGTGGAAGGAAGCCACAGCTGGTCAATATGGATTCAATTGATACTAAGAGAGACCCGACAACTCACATGGTGGAGGTCAATTTGGAGTCGCACGCTGAAGCCGAGACTCTCGACGTCTCGCATGTAAAATTGAGCAACGCATACCCGGAGCCAGGATCAACTGGTAAATCACCACGCTTAACCTTCGGTGTGGAATTGGAGATCGCTGTTGGTACTTTAAGGGACATCTGCCAAAACCCAACACCAAGAGATGGCCGTAGAGTCTACGGGGTTGGTCGTTCTGCCAACTCACCTCCGTTGCAGTATGATCCAAGACCAGCAAACTTTGGCGAGAGTTCCCTCCCAGAACGCTCGTATAGAGCTAAGGGCCGTTTGTGTGTGTATGAAAATATTGCACAAACCCTTAACTGCGCTGGGTTCCCAGCTATACATATGGAGGATGCAGAATATCAGAAAGATGGATATACTACTGAAATGACCAGCAAGTGGATCATCGGGACTGACATCAGTATTGACCTCCCAGATGAGTCAATCTATGACTACCACAAGCTCGAGATCAAATCTCCAGTTTATTACTTCAGCGAGGAAGCGCTAAGCGATGTTAAACGGGTCTGGGAGATCATCGCCTCCACTTATAAAGTCGTCACAAACGAATCGATGGGCTTGCATGTTCATGTTGGCAACGGAGTTGATGCTTTCGACGGCGATACTTTAAGGAATTTGTGGGGCATTCTCTGGACTACAGAGAAATGGATCGAGACTATTCACCCTCCGCATCGCAGAGTTAATTCATTCTGCCAAAGCTTCCATCGCTGTTCCAATTTGGGACGCGAGATCGGAGAACAATCTCTCAAAGATCCAGAAGAAGAGGTACTCGAATGGATCTTAACCAGGACGCCTCCAACAGTGCGTGAATTCCTCGACACTATCTGCTTGCAAAGCGGTGCCTACAACTTTGTAAATTTACAGCCAAGTCAAAACGTCGGAAGTATCAAGCGTACGATTGAGTTTCGCCAGCATGAAGCAACGCTCGATACAGAACGAATCACACAATGGATCAGGGTATGCGTGGGATTAGTCAAAGCATCCGCAACTGCAGATCCCTCAGTACTGGATCCATATCTGCGACTCTTGATTCAGACAAAGAGAGAAAAGTTACGTGTATGGGATATTTTTAAAGAGCTTGGGCTTGAGAGTTCAGGAGTTTATTTCAAGACTCGGATGTTGAGAGAGAGACCGGTGGGAATCGTAGTTAAGAAGTTGTGGGAGAAGACGACGAGATTTGTCAAAAGATAAGCGGTCTCTTTCTTATAAGATATTTGGAGCCTCATACTATACCCTCAAATAATCCGTTCTATTTTAAACATTCAATTTTCAATTTTTGAATCAGCCTTTAATCGTGTCCTGAGATACCCAACTCCACTTCCAACTTTCGGCATACGATATCCCATAGAATCTCAAATAATACAACGGAATTCTCAACTTCGTTTCAGGCATTCGAAGTTAGTTACACACTTCCTTTTGAAAAGGTGACTGCCAATCTTCGTACCCATCATTTCAGTCTTCAATACTCCAAATCGCATTCGGACATTCAGCTTACAGCATTCTAAGGTGCCTGAATCAGTCTCCAAGTCTTCAGACGACCTTTGACCATTAAAAATCCATACTTAGACTGATGCAGAATGCAAGGAAGCCATGGGTTGGGGGTTAGGATTCAATGGTAGTTTGTAGGATTAAGTCTGATGTCGTTGGGAATTCTGATTACATAATACAATGCATTATATAAGCCTCGAGGTTCTGGCCCCACAAGCTTCAAGGTTATTTATTATGCTTCACGCAAGGTACTCGAGTGTAGAATTTGAATTGTCAGATGATAATAACTTTGCTCATTAATTTTGAGAGAATAAATAGTAACTGTATCTACCTCGTTCTTTACACTTGATATCATACAAATCATTCACCTGCCCCAGTACCACGCCCCCTGCCGTCGCCGATCCCGTCCCTAAATCCACGATTTTGCCATACCTGTATACATTCAACGTAATATATGAATCATATTATAGACAAAATCATCCTCGTTGGGTTTGTTTCTTTTGAGCCTTTCTCATCTCTTTTTCCTTTTCCTTCTCGAGGTACTTCTTCTGTGCCTTGGCGTCAAGACCCTTCAATTCAAGATCCCTCTTCAATTTCTTGGCCTTTTCACGTTCTAGTGCACGCTCCTCGGCCTTTTCCTCTTCATCCGCTTTTTGAAGTCTCTTGATAGTATCTTCACGGGTCATGCGTACTTTACGCATGACTTCCGGTCGGAAATGAGCGCCAGATGCAAGTTGATCCGTGATTCTGATGAAGTATTCAAAGAGAGGAAGAACCCGGGTGTAATCGTCACCAGAAGGAAGTTTCATG